GGGTTACTAATCAGGAGCCAACATTAGGATCCTTTTTAAGGGTCCTTTTATAAGGGTGCCGTACTATATTATATTGGGGATCCAAAAGGGACCCTAATTTAGAGAACTACCCGTGTGAGGTTAGGTTAGGGGCGGAGGGCTTCCCGTATGAAGGGCTCTTGGGGGCGGCTTTTATGGGTTGTTACAGGAGTGTACATCGCCTTGATAGGGTTTCCAGGAAATCAGCCCTTCAGGAAGGTTCGGGCTATGGGCTTCTACATAGTTAGAACAGGTTCTGGGGCATAGTATAGTATGGCCATTCTTCAGGAGCCTCAATCAATGCTCTGGCGAGGATCTTCCAGATCAGCTCCGGGGAACACTGCCATCCCAGACTCTGGACCAAAGAGAGCGAACAGCGTCGGCCTTGTCATAGAAGTAGCCGTCGCGCTGATGCTGGAGCTCTTCGGCCTGTCTCAGCCTCTGCGCTGCCACCAGCTCGGCTTCCTTTCGCAGCCTTTCCCGCACTCGACTGCACTGAGCTTGCCCCCGCTCGAGTACAACTCTGCAAGTCTGCTTCACTGATCGAGTTAAGCCAACGGCAGCGGTGCCATGTTTACAAATCGACTCTTAGACGGATTTCGGAATGCAGCGATCTGGACACCTGGGCATCGGACAAGAAGCTCCACGTGCCGCCGCCGACTTTGTACGTTGGGACTCTATGTGGATTGCTGGCGCGTCGGCAAGCAGCGCCAGGAGTTTCTGGTAAAGCTTGTCTTGTTGATCCACCAGGAGACCCAGGAGACGGGTGGCCTCTTCTCCGGTGATGTTCCGTTTCAAAGTTTCAATCCAAACACAGCCTCCGTGTATTGAAAATAAGGGCCTACAGGCCTGGAGCATTAGAACAGGGTTGGGTGAGGGTGGGGTCCACGGTTCAGGGTTTAGGGCGAACGGGGAAGTATGCTACGCAATCATCGTCATAGGAACTGTAAGGAGTTACAGCATTTGGGGGGGGGATACTTCTACTAACTTAGCTCTTACATTACCCTAGTCCATGTACTCATATAGTATATACATTGGCCTTAATGTGGTTCCTATTTGGGTACTTTGGGGTCTTAGTATGTGCTATAAGGGTACATGGACCCTTAGGGTTATAACAGTGAATAAGGCTTAGTGTTTAGGTCCTCAGTTATCACTTTCAACCCTACGTCCTAGACTGCAAACCCTTCAACTCCACCGAAGTAGAACAGGAGCTTGAAGGGTCGATGACATGTACCTATAGTCTCCATTGTAGCTCCTTTCTGGGTTGAACCAATTATATATATATATATATATATTCAGGATTCTATAAGGTATCCCCAAAAAGGGACTACAATGGAGACTATAGGTAATGCTGGGGGTGCACATGCCCCCAGCGTCGTTTGATGAGTTGGGCCTTCTTAATTAGCCCAAACCCAAATCTGAATCCCTGAACCCCAAGCCCAAAATCCTAACGGCGCTATCTGACCTGCAAGACACAATCCCTTCGCCCTAAACCCCAGATGTGCGTTCTACCTGAAACTTTTTGAAGCCCTGCTTTGTTGCAGCTCCATAAGCGCTGAGCCGCCAAACCCTACAGTAGACCCCAAAACCTAAAACCCTGAAGCCCTAATTTGTTGAAGCACTATAAACCCAACCCCCCATACAATAGACCCCGAAACCCTAAAAACCAAAACCCGAAGCCCCAAAAACGCTAAACCTACAGTCGACCCAAACACCCAAAACCCTACGGTAGCTTTTTGTACCCTAAACCCCTAAACCCTAAACCTTAAACCCTAAACCCCAAACCCTAAACACTAAAACCTAACCCTAAACCCTAAACCCTAAACCCTAGAAACAGCTCCCACTTTGAAACTTCATCCATCGGTCCTGGGATCCTGCTTCTTCAGCGCCGACTCGCCCTGCTTGCTGCGACATGAAGGTTCAGGGTTTAGGGTTTAGGATTTAGGGTTTATAGGGTTTAGGGTTTAGGCTTTAGGGTTTAGGATTTAGGGTTTAGGGTTTAGGGTTTAGGGTCTCCAAGCTCCAGTTTGGAGTGAGGCTTGACTGTTTCGGCTTGTGGTTTTGAGTTTGGGACCGGGGCTTGCAGTACCCCTACCCCATGCACTACCCAATACTCCTGTGGATGAGAACTCTAAGCTAATCTTCAATGGGCTATTACATCAGAAAAGACAAGCTTAAGGATTACAAACTTCGCTACCTAAACCCTAAACCCTAAACCCTCAGCCCTAAACCCTAAACCGAAAGCCCTAAACTTAAATCCCCAAAACCTGGACCATGAAACCTGACTATTCAAATCGAAAACCTAAACTTTCAGACTCTCAAGCCTAACATCTTCTCCTGGCAAGCTGGGTTGAGGCGTGCTGACATGTATTAACAATGATACTGCGACGGTTAGTATGATGTTGAATGAAGCTGTTGATGATGATGCTGGGTAAAAACATTGTGTAATCATTATTGGTGTGTGTTTGTTTATATGTTTATTTGTTATGCGTGCTTTTATTGGTGTTGCTGCTACTACGCTTGTTATTGTTGTTATTAGTATGAAAGATAACACTGATATGACTGCATTGTTCTTATTATATAATATTCTCCTGATTATTAAAACTAACTACGATTGTGGTTATTGGTGCTACTGCTATTGTTATGTTGACGATGATTGTGCTCATAATTGTGATTAAGCTTATTGTTGCTAGTACTTGTTGGTCTTGTAACTTGCTTATTTATTCATCATAGAAATATTGCTATGCTGCTGCTGATGATGATGATGAACTATGACTACAAGAATAGTTCAATTGCTGATGAAACTGCGGGACCCTTATCTTAAAGACCTCTACGTAAGGTACTCCTCATTTTCGGAAACAAACCCCACATATACTTGGCTGCTGAAGAAAACCCTGAAACCCTGAACGCTAAACCCAGCTTAGGGCACACACCTTAAGGTTGAGTCATTGAGGTTTAGCCAGGAGTGCGGTGAGGGCTTGGGACGATCTGTTCCGTAAGTACGCAGGCCTAGCGCCAGGATCTGAACTTCCCCAGGCCCTGAACTCTGAACCGTAATTTCTATACAAATCTGAAGCCTAAACTCCCAAACCGCATAAAGAACTCATCGAACATCAATAGAACCCTAAACCCTAAACCCGGATATTCCCTCCAAAACACCCGAACCCCACACTCTGGAAGCCGTCGATCCCGACCCCGAGTCCGTTACCAGCCTCTCTTAGAAGCCTGCGGAGCTCGGCTGACGGATCCTGCAAGACTTGCAGCCGCAGGGAATCCCACATAATTCGAGGCACAGAATTTAGGATGTAAGGGGTTTCTAGAAAGGCTGAGGGATTAGACGTTGGGGTCTGGGACGTAGGTTTGGGCTTCGGGTTGAAGTTTGTTGTGGGTGAGGGCGTCTAGCACAGAATCTGGGAGTTGAGCCAAAACGGCACGCACATACAAACTCTACATCGCAAGTCGCAAAATCCGAGAAAAACGCTTCAGCAAAAACATACACAAATCTTGCAAACCTTTGAAGCCGTTCTTGGTCTGGATACCCAAGACAAGCTGAACCCACAAAGCCCTCGAACAGAGACCAGAAACTTGGCAGAATTCCTGACAAGGATTCAAAAAGCATTTGTCGACCGATGGTCTTCTGCCACAAACTCCGCCACACCTGTCCAAAGCAAGCTGAGCCCTCCCCTTGCAAGAGGAGTTCTGCGTAACCAACAGCTATTGGTTCAGCCTGTGCGACAACCGGCTGTTGGCTTGGCTTCGAAACTTCTCCAAACGCTGAACTGCATAATCATCAACAGTATCATCATCACCAGTACCACCACCAGCAGCAGCAGCAGACACCATCACGCTATCAAAACATCACACCATCACGACTGCAAATTATCACCACAAGCATCTGAGTCATATTCGTCCTAATCATGAGCAGCACCGTTAATTAATCACACGTATATGTACAAACATCCATCTCGAATTTGCATACATTTTTTCGACAGTCAGGTATGTATGACTTTCGTCTTGTGCACTTGGCGGCAGTTTGTTTACACTGGTTCTCTAGTGCAAGCCTACATGCGCTCGCGCTCATGTATGCGAAAACGGTTATGGATGCATGCGGTAGTGCGTGTGTGTGTATTCACTCATTACTTTAGCATGACATTCCCCTTGAATCCCATTCCATTCCATCACAGTGCTGCGGATTACATTGCATTGCACTCATGTAAGCAGAGAGGCATACATACAAACAGAGCTAAACAGCGCAGAGGAAGAGAGAGCTGGAGAAAGAGAGCGGGAGATACCCCTAGATCTAGAGTAACCAACGTACCTCGTAAGTTGGTAATCTACCTATATGTACGCTCATATCTGTTGGTTACTCTAGGTAAACCCTCTAAACCCCAAACCCTAGACGCTGGAGTCTTACCTCGGCCGTGGGCTTCAGTGGCACGGTCTCCACAACGTCCGATTGCGCCCGCGGGACAGGCGCGCCTAGGTTCAAGGCTTATGACAACCATAACAGAACAGGGATCAAGATAGCAATACAAAGATAAGAATAAGGTAATAACAAGAATGATACGAATACAAACAATACCAACAATATTGCTGTAGTTCGTGACAATTTAGGGTTTTCAAGAATTCAGGGTTTGGGGTTAGGATACGGGCCACGGGGTGTAGGGCTTTGGATTTTAAAGCTTCGAAGTTTGGATTGTTTCAGGTCCTTGCTGGCCTGAGGTGTGTAGGGGTTTCTGAACACGAGCTAGGCTGCGGTGAAGGCGGCCCACGACAAGCATTAGTAACTAATGTAGGGGTCAAAAATTAGCTATACTATTTCGGGGGTTCCCTATTATAACTATAGTAGAATACCCCACCCCCCCACCCCCCCACCCCCCCCACCACCCCAAAAAAAAAAGAAAAAAAAAGCCTATTCTAATTCTTAAGGCCCCTACATCAAAGCAGTTACCATGTCCAGGGGACTTATACTTGCTCAAGCATGGCATTGGGAGTTCACGGGAGACTTGCCGTGTTGAACGGCTTGTAGACTTTGAAACAACCTTGCTTGGCTTTGCAGATCCTGATGTAAATGAGCCGTGCAGCCTCGAACAGATTGAAGTGTGTGCTTCGGGTTGATCCGGCGACAGAGTTTGACAGGTTTGATGCCGAGCGTGCTAACGCACACGAAAACCTACACACTATTAACTCCTAAACCCCAACCGCAAAATCCTAAACCCTAAACCCTACACCCCGAAACCCTAAAACCCTAGACCCTAAACGCTACGCCCCTAAACCCTAAACCCTACACCCCTAAACCCCAAACCCTAAAACCCTAAACCCCAAACCCTAAAACCCTAAACCCTAAACCCTAAACCCTAAACCCGTAAACCTTAAACACTACACCACTAAACCCCAAACCCTACAACCCTAAACCCTACATCCCTAAACCCTAAACCCTGAACCCTACACCCCTAAACCCTACAACCCACAACCCTAAACGCTACACCCCTAAACCCTCAACCCTACAACCCTATACCCTGCACCCCTAAACCCTAAACCCCCCACAAACCCTAAACCCTAAACCCTAAACCCTGCGCAAACCCTAAACACTAAACCCTAAACCCACAAACAGCATGGCCTTTGGCTGGGGGAGGCCCTGCTGCACGCCGACGTAGGGACGAGACATCCTGGCCGGGGGGTGCCAACCCGAAAGAGTCAGATGACATTAATATGCTTTATGCTCTGGTATTGGAGTTTAGGGTTTAGGGTATCTTAACCTATATTGTTGTAATATATATATATATATGTATTAATATATTATATACATACTACTTTTATTGTATTATATAATATTCATATATAGATCGGGAGAGACTGGGCAGAACTGCACTGAATCCTTAGCGGTCTGCTGCCATTTTCCCCTCGGACTTGGGAAAGACGGCTTTGGCTTTGACTGCACGAGCAGCCACTAGCGATAGGCCTCATAGGCCCTAAAGTAGTTCCTCTTTGAGGTTTAGGGTTTAGGGTTTAGGGTTCATATATAGAATCCTATACGGTAATCCCACAAAGGAACTACTATGGGGCCCATGGGCAACTGCAAAATTGAGCGAGGCGTTTGCTCCTCAGGACTGGCAGCTAGAATGGAAGGGCACGCGGCACACGGTTGCACGGCCGCCGCAGCTTTTGCGAGAGTTGGCGCTGCGCTGGGAGCAGCTCCATGAGCATCAGCTACTATGAGGCTTCCACCCCTTCGCCCAAGGCTTTTTGACTGACCAAACCAAGCCACACTTCTCCATGGCAGCATAGGTGCAGTAAGACCAGTCGTGGTACCAGGGGCCGTAGACTGCATAGATGGGGCATGCATGGTGCTGGTCATGGTCTGATTCGCTCCCTGCGATCCACCAGTACCAAGACCTAGGTGGTCAGGGCGCCTGCACAGTACTCCTAAACCCCAGAAACCTTAAATAAGGCCCACAACAGCATCGCTTGGACCGGCCGAGAGACCTGTGTGTGGACATGCATGGGCCGAGACCTTCTTGAGCCTTTGGGGGATCATCCCCCTTGCTCCCAAAAGGCCACCTCAAAGGCAAACAGGCCGGCCAGAAAGGACAGGTATGCCCGAAAGCCGTGAAGGCAGCCACCATGGACGTCCCAAGCTGCTTACCCGTCAGGAATGCAGCCATGAAAGGGGCGTTGTCCGCAAACCACACCGGGGCGAGGAAGATGCTGAGTACCGTCACAACTACATAGCATACACCCTGCGCGAACCGACCTTGTCCTATCTCGAACACGAGCAGCTCGGGGCGTTCCTGCAGCCAGTCTTGGATGTATTCCTCTCTGATCTTAAAATTCTCCCGGTCGGCAAGCCAGAACATTGCACCGTAGAGGAAGCCTTTCTGATTGACCGGATGAGGATCGCCCTCTTCCTCGCAGTACTTGTGGTGTCTCCGGTGTGTGCTTGCAAAGAAAAGCGGTGGCATGGCAATGTAGCAAGGAATCGCCGCGAGCACGAGGTTCCAAGCGCGTGAGGTTGAAAAGACTCGATGGGCAAAGTAGCGGTGCACCAAGTGCTCGCAGTAAATCGCCAATCCGAAACCAGCCACAAGGAAAATCAAGGATCTCGGAGCCTCGACACCGACGACGTCGTACCACTCCGAGTCGCTGAGAGGAGGCTCAAAGTGGTCGGCTCTGTTGGCGAAAAACTTGAAGAGTCTCCAGGGCGCCTGGCAGACACGAAACCCAAAGGGTCCAAGTAGTAGTATAGTACACACTCTTGGGCCCATGTTGGACTCCTTGAAAAAAAAACCACGAACCGCAAAGGTAGGAGGCTATTTCTTAGACCCCGGCCGCCACAGGACCCACCACCAGCAAGTCGAAGATATGGCCAAAGGGCCCATAGTTGGTGTACCGGAACATAAGGGATGCGCTGATCATGCCCTGCTTGAAAGCTTCGGACCAGGAAGCGTGGTAACAGAACAATGTAGTCCTGACGCTTTAGAGTTCGGGCTGACAAGGCTTGTCCAAAAAGGTTTAGGGTCTCGGGTTTATGTCACAACAGGGCACTGCAACGGCACTCCGGAAAACACTGAAATAGAGCCAGTTTCAGGAGCCTCCGGAACCTTGAGCATTCCTGCAGAAGCCCTTCATCGTTGCTGCTGTTGCTGCTGCTCCCCGCCTTCGTCTTCGTGTTCGCGATGTCGCTGGTGTTGATCTTGATGATGCTGTTGTTGTTGCTGTTGCCGTTGTTGCTGTTGTTGCCGTTGTTGCTGTTGTTGTTGTTGGTGGTGGTGGTGTTGTTGTTGTTGCTGGTGTTGGTGTTGTTGTTGTTGTTATTGTTGTCCTAGATTGTGGGTGACCAAGTGTGGGACGCCACTAGACTGGCACTCCGGGAGACGACTTGTGGCGGCTTGCTGCTCCAAGTACGACCCAGCAATCGTGGGTTCGTGAGCATCGGACGCGATGGCTCACACTGAGGGTGTCGGGGGTTGTATCAAGCTTTTCACTCGGTAGACAAGCCAACCATTTTAGGAACAACGGACCTGAAGCTCCGTTCTTCGCAGTATGTCATGTAAACCTCTGTTACACAGTTCTTAACACAGAGTCAGCTCATCCCTGTTTCACATGAGTGCCAGGT